ACCCTTTTTAATTTATGCATTCATTTCAAGTTTTTAGAATGAAAACTTGCACATTAACTACTTAACATTAACTTTTAGGAGTCACACTGCATCAGTCAAAGACTTCTTATTTAAATTGAGATTGGAAATATTTAAAAGGAATTAGTGCTTGACAGGCTTTTGAAGAAGGTAATATTTTCATATGATTGGGTCAAGATTTTAGTGGTTTGTATATAGTAATAAAGAACTCGTTTGACAAAACTTATTTTATAGTTATCTTAAGTATTCCTACCATAATAAAAGTGCCTTTCCCTAAACTCTTTTTTTTTTTTTTTTTAAAGCAAGCGCAATTAGGGGAAAGAAGAATAGGAAGATTATTAGCGTAGTAATTAAAAGTTGACATTTATCAAGAATTTAATGCATCCGAACCAATATAACTAAAAGTGTGGGTGCGCTTTTTGCTAAACTTAATATATAAAAAGCTTAACAAAAATAATATTTATCAGAAAAATTTGAAATTTTATTTATTTTTTTTATATTTACTTTAGATAGGGTTTTTGACCGCCACAAGTTTAACTAATTATTATATATACCATTGTATTATTTTTTCTTTGAAATTTTATATTTTTAAAATGAATTAAAGGATATAGTAATTAACTAATATAAAAATGCATGGTTTTTCTTATTTTGGGTGTAGTATTAACGTCACCCACTTATTTTGAAATTTATTTTTCAACACAATTTTAAAGTGAGGCGTTACTTTTGAAGTATGGGAACCCCCCAATCTCTTTTATTTGATCAGAATTAGTGGCATTGTATTTATTATTTTCTCTAATTTTTGTTTTGGTGGGGTATATGAATTTTTCTCTCTATTTTTTTAATTAATTTCTATAATTATTGTAGTAAATCATGTGGGCTGACTTAGTGATCACGAAGTTTAAAAGACTTATAGAAAATCTTCTAATTTTGCTAATATCATCTTTAGAGTTTTTTATTTTATAATTTAAACTATATTAACTAATAAAATAAAAATTAATAAATGAAAAAACAACACATAATATTAAAATTTTTTTATTTAATAATTTAAATTATATAATTTAAATTGTATAATAATTTTTTTATTATATATGTTTGATATAATTGTGGGAACTATATTAAAACTCTCATTTTAAGATATCTATTATCATTTTAATTAGTAAAATACAAATACATATCATATGTCACGTCCACCCTCCTGATTGGAGCCCCCAATAATGAGATAAAATAATCAATTTAGAATACAATACAACAAATTATTCATCATATAAGGTTCTTATTCCATGGATTTATATGGTTGAAAATTAAAGCTCACGTAGTCATCATAAATTGGATGACTTGAGGATTCTTTTTGGTTTGTATTCATATGCTAAAGTCAAGTTAAGATGAGCATAAGGAAGGCAACATAAACACCATTGCTGAAATGATATCATGATTTATATAGATATATTTTAAATGCAGTGAACATCTTAGATAAATTTGGCCTTTTGCTTTGACAAACATAATTAATGATGCAATGAACAGCTAAAAACAGACCCTTACAGGTATTACCATAATAATTGTGCATGACCTTTGCTTGATATCATCTCTCTTTGTCCCTCTCAAATATTTTACCATAGTCTAGCCACATAAACAAGGGTGGACCTATTACCACGCCCAAATCTGCTAATGCTATCATTTTTAATTTGTTTTAACATTTTTTTTTTTGGGTCCCTTTTTGTACTATTTTATTAAATTATTTAAAATTTTAAATTATTATAAAAAGAAAAAACAAAAAAAACAAATTGACGAATGACAATTAAAGAAGACAGACTATTGACCGTCCTTCTCGCGAAAAGGCTATACTGGGTGCTTCCCTAGATTTGAAAAGAAAAATGAAACACATTTTGCAGGGCAAAACAATTAAAATAAAATAAAAATTGTAACGTTAATAATTTTAAATGTGACAATAATCTTACCATATAAACAAAAGAATTAGCTAATGATTCATTGATAATTGTGAATACAACTTTAATTAATTCCATATTTTTCGAATAAAATCAATTATGTTATCAAATGAATTAATGTATACTGATTTATTATTCACAGATATTGATGATTAAAAAATACTTATAATTATTACCATGTAAGATTTATAAGATTGTGTATGTGCATTTTTCATTTTCATTTGTTTCTTCATCCGTTGGTTCCATTAGTCAAGGTTGAAAATAAAAAAAATTGCAAGCAATGTCAAAAATATATTCTGTATTAAAGTCAGAAATGAAAGTGCGTAAGTCAATGGGAAGAGATTATATACGGTAATATATTTATATTTAATATCTAAGATATAAAAATAAATTCAATAAATTTGGACTATATAAACTCACATTATTTTTTTTATTATAAAATTTGAACTTAGAATATATAGGCATCATGATCAAGGCCTTCATCTTAACCACACTTCATTGACAAGCTTTGTGCTTAAATAAAGAATTTTTTTAATCTGTACCTTAAATATATATGTTAAGAATTTTAAAAAATTTAGATGAAATTAACACTAAAATTAATATTTATTTTTATATTTTTTTATATAAATTTATTATAAAAAAATAATTTTAACTTGTACCTCTAAGATATAAATTAAAAAGATGATTAAATAAATTAAACAAAAGCAATATCCTTCCATTTTCCACCACATTGCATATGTGAATTAGTAGAAGATGTTGTCATGGAATGGAAAGTGTGGGGGCTCGAATCTTGGTTGTGTGGTCGAAACAAGCTAATTACCAAAATTTAAAGACAAAGAAAAAAAGATGCATGTGGCCAACTATTAATGACGAAGCCTCCACATGACCTTCGAAAGATAGGTGGCCGTTTCTTTAATTTAGGTTCATCTTTTTTATTTTTATTCTCACCTTCGAGAACTTATAGAAGTTTTCTAAGGAGAAATTTTAAATTGGTTTGAGTTACTCTTTGGGATTTTTTTAACTTGAGTTATTTAAAGTACATTTATTATATTTTTTATTATTAATTTATATAAAAATTTATTAAATTTTTTTATTTTTAAATTAATATCACATGAAATATTTTAATTAAAAATTAATAAAATTAAAAAAAAAATCTAATTTAACAGCAGTTTGGAACAAATGTTATTTAAGGTAGTTTTTTTAATTTACTAACAATTTAATACAAAATTTTATTTTAAGTAATTTTCTCCAATTATTAACTATTTAAACCTTAATGGTCTTTGGAAGTTCCTTCAAGGGGACCAGCTGGGAGTCAGCTTCCTCCGTTATTAGTTTTCTTTAAGTAGTTTTTATTATAATCCTGTACCCCAAAAAAAATTATTTAAACCTTAATTATTATCTATTAATTTTAAAATACTGAATAAAAAATTTTATTAAATCCTTAATTTATAATAACTTTAAAATAAATAAATTTACCTCAAGCAATATACTAAACGATACCAAAGCGCAACTGCGTCTGCGCGAAGGCCAGAAGCGTTGGCGGTTTGAAATCCAGCACCAGAAACATTTTTCCAAGTTGCCCATTGCGCAAAGCAAAATGTACAGCTCCAACACCTGCATCTCCCAACTCCGAACCCTAACCCTAAGATGCCACCACAACTAGCATCACTCTTTCTCTCCCAAACCCTAGACGACGGAGATGGCTAAGCATGCCGTTGGTTGCGCTCACCAGAAGCGATGGCTGCTGCCGCTTCTCCTTATGCTCTCCGCTTCCACACTGATTGCCTTCTTCATCAGGGCTGTTTTTGATCCCTGTGATCGACATGCCGCCGATATTAGCTCCGTTCACAATTCGATCCAAGTTGCGGAGAGGAGAGTTCGCTTGCCCCCAAAGATCCCCTCGCCACCGAATCCGCTCAGTTTCATGAAGTCAAAGATTGTGCTTTTAGTCTCTCACGAGCTCTCCCTCTCCGGTAGTGACTTGATTGTCAATTTGGTGATTTAATTTTAATTTTTTTTTATTAGACTGGAGTATCTTCCAGTTTGCCAATTCTGGTGGTTTTTTAGGGTTTTATGCTATTCTCATGTTGCGTATGAGGTTATTTTCGATTTTCTTCTAACGTATAACAGGCGCTGTCTTTCATGATGGAGGTGGTGTTATCTACACAACTTGTCAATCTGTGATGTTAGTGGAAAATTTACCCTTGAAAGAACAGTTCTTTAAGAGGAGCTTC